CCCCCCCCCTCGCCTTGCCTTTCACATCGTGCTCCTGCTGCTTGGGACGCCACCCCGCCGCTGGCACGTGAAAATCCGCTTGGCAGGTTGACGAGGTTAAATTGGGAAGGGTTAGGGGGGAAGGGGTTGGAAAAGGGGAGAAAGGGGTGGGGGTGAAGGACGCGCACGCGGAGGAGGGAGGACGCGTCTAACGACCTCCCAGGAGTCTGGTTATTTGGGGGAGATGGGTGTCTGGACCGGGACAGCAGCGGCGTCGCGCGCCTCGCCACGCCACTCCCCGCAGCAACCCGTCGCGTAAGGAGAGGGAGAGGCATAGGTGGAGGGGGGAAAACAGCATGGCCCCACTCACTGCACTGAGTAACCTAATTACGGGCTGGAACAGTTTCGGACACCCAACAATTACTTTGGTCTTGTTTACAATATGGCATCGTTAGTCTGCGTGTTGATAATTGTGTTCAGTAAATATGAAGACCGCAAAAATCTGCTCCAGGCTCCTACGCTTTCGCTTAAATAAAATTGAATGAAATGGCGCAGTTTTTTCTATGAATAATAATCTTTTCTCATTACTTATGCGATGATTGGAAACGGAAAGCGTCGTCCACCACCCATTTATTGTGGCCGCCTTCCCCCTTCCACGGAAGTGTATACAATATCCTATCCGCGCACGCTTTGAGGGCGTAAAACTCCTTTGAAAACAAAATTCGCTTTCACCAGCTCATTCTTTTATTTAACGCTAAGATCTCACTTTCTCGGACGCAAACCCCCTCCTCTACTCTCTTCCTCCCCCTTTCCCTGCGCTTACTGAGGCGCGGCAGATTGCCTCCTCCTCCCTCCCTCTCTTCTCTATTCCTATCGCCCTCCCTGATTCCCCCTCTACGCCATGCTCGCTGCTCAAGGGGGCTGTACATTCTGACTCCACCCTTTATGAACGAGCTAGCTACATAACTTCTGCCCTCGGAGGACTCCACCACTTCCGCTACACTCTCTAGACCGAACGCAAGTCCAGACGTTGCGCGGAGGAAACCGGTTCACGAGCAGAAGGGAGATGGGGGATGTTGATGTGAGGGGAAGCTTCCACGTTCATCGGCGTGAATATGCCAGGTTATCCTGAATCAGTTTCTATTCAATACACTACAACCAGAAACAGCCACCTACATTAGTACTCGTCTTTTCACTAGTTTAATTTTCTCCTTCAACAACAATGCAAAAATTTTATAGAAATTTTCTTTTCAATTATTAAATTGTTTGTATCTAAAAGTAAATTATTCTTGTTCGAATAAAATTTCTGGTGCACTATTTTAGTTTACTTAAGACGAAAAACGACTTTTTACGTGTGAAGAAAATTGTAAGAACTGTGACTGCGCTCCCAACCCGGATCCCGTGCATCGTTGGAGTGTCGCTGGGCTGGGGGGGTAGAGACAGCCGACCGCACAGCTGACATCATCGTGATTTATTCGCTAGCTAGGAGAGAGAAAAGGCGAGCGAGGGCGAGGCACGTCAAAGACTGCTGAGGTGGCCGAAATTAAAATGAGCCGCCTCCTCCCCTCGCGCCTGCCCCCCACCTCCCCAATACCGCTGTCGCTCTCTAACCCTCTATTCTTCGCCGCCATGTCTTGCCCACTCCCTCCCCCCACTCCCCTCACTAGTGGTACGTGTGTCGCAGTTGATCCCTTGTCGCAAAAGTTGTCCCATGGAGAGGGGGTAGGCGCGGTACACACAAGATGCCCGCCCCTGCCCACCCCCTCCCCCGCGATGCCCCGTCTCGGAAGTTAATATCAGACCGCCTGGGACTACGGGGAGGCGACGGTTTGGCCAAGAGAGCTTGGGGACGGGGTGCGGGGTGGGTCCCCTAAACAAAACGGAGCCCTCTACTGTTTACTGAGTAAACACTTTTATACGTGATTTCTTTTTCTCTCGAAAAAATGAGCAAGACGTTCCAAAATTTCAAAAGGATTTAAAACAAAGGGCATAGCGCTTGATCTGCTATGTACCCTGTAACCTGCCCGCAACACCACACACGCCAACGGGAAAGTTTGAGCAGAGTGAGGGACAGAACCAGAGCAGAGCCGAGTGTGAGAGAGAGACAGATAGCCAACACGAAAATAGAGCTGAAATTTCACGCCCCTCTCTCCCCACACCCTCCCCCACTTCCTCTCCCACGGGTGCCCGGGTGTCTCGCCGGGCGTGGACAAATGTCAACGACACTCCATTGTCCCCCCGGCAGCCGAGCAAGGCCCGGCGTGAACCCTCCTCATCCCAGAGCATATTTTCTGGGCCGAGAAGTGCAACGTCCTGCCCTGCTCTTTCCCCCCTCTCCTCCCCCCTCTTCTAATCAACTCCGCGCGCGGGACCCGCTGTCACGGGCGGGACGGCACTTTGCTGCCCTAATGACGCCATTCTTCGCCACCGCCCGGAGCCCTGGGCGGCCTGCTCCTGCGAGCCGCGGACCGCGAGGCGAACAACAACTCCTCTCTTTTCTGTAAACGACACTGGCGAGTCTCCCCTGCAACCGTTTGAGCGTCCCGCGCGCGCGCGCTGCGCAAGGTTAGTTAGCCCATTTACGGGGGTAGTTAAAACGGAAAAAGGACACCTACAGAAAGGAGGGCCGGAATGCGTAGAAACAAGGTTTGTTGTCGGTACCAGCGGCGCCGAGCAAAAATTTACTACAAGGTCGGCTGTTTACCAAAACATTACGGGCGCAATCCGATTGGGAGTGAGCTTTTATTGTGCCGCATGTAACGCAGGATAACACGACGTGCACCTGCCCAGCCCCACGCCCCGCACCTGCTCAGCCCAACCCCAACGCCCTGTGCCGCGCACCACCTGCTCACACCTGCCCAAAACCTCGAACCAAACTGCGCAGTTCGTTGTATGGCCACTGCCACTACTACTGGTTCTTGTTTCGGAGCCGCCGCTAACGAGCAAACGCGCCGGCATTGGCAGGATGTTGCCCTTTGCCCTATGGCCGTCCCAAACACTTGTTCGGGTCGGACTCAAACAGAGATGGACGTGCAGGCGCGCGCGCGCACGCACACACACATACACACAGGCTCGGACACGCTCTGCACAAGGGGTTGGCGACCAGAGCTGAGCCGAGTCCGGCCTCACCCCCTCCCCCCCTTCCCGGTCTCCCTCAGGGCCTACGCGGCGAGGGCCTACAATCCCATCTCTTTGGCACAAACATGTGTATCCATTATTTTACGTCATTATTATTTTTTTTTCGAGTGAGTCGACGAACGAACTCACAAGAAACGGTCTTTCTCCCTCGGGGACGAAAATAAAACACAGAATGTGTGTTGTTTTTTTTTTTGTTTGTTTTTTTGCTTTTTCGTTTTGGGGGACCGCCGCGCAGCGAGCCTGGTGCCTGGTCCAGCACAGATTGGGTAAAACCCCCGAGCACTCTCATCATCATGATGTTATTGATGTTACCTCTCATCTCCATCTCGTCCTTGAGGAGACGACTGACCTCGACGTCCAGCAGTTCGTCCCTCTGTCCTCACTGATAAACAGAGTGTTAAACCGGTAAACACGTGTAAGAGTGTTCAACTGTTCAACAAGTTGAATACTTAAAAGTTCAACTCGGTAATTGTGCACTTGTACGTGTGTTGAACCTATGTTGAACCCTTCGTACAGATTGTGCGTCCAATATTAGGCGGTGCTCAGCGGAGGAGTTCCTGAAACACTAAC